GTACAGAATAAATAAAAAAACATTAATTTTAATATATATATATATATATATATATATATATATATATATATATATATATATATATATATATATATATATATATATATATATATATATATATATATATATATATAATATTATTTATTTTACATATATATATATTTATATATATTAAATATAGTATGTAAAATATATAATATAAATGAATAAATAAAAAATTCAACAATGATTATTACTCTTTTGTATCACGCTTTTTTTTTTGAGTTTTTTTTTTTAAGTTACTTTAGTGTAACTTTCAGAATAAATTTACTTATTAAATAAAATTACTAAGCGTAACTTTCAGATTAATTGTTTTCATTTTCACTACCGTAGAGTTTATTCAAGCAAAATAATAAAATTATTTTACGCCGCTTAACTGCAGGATTACCCAAATGTTATAATAAACAAGTGCCCCCTCCCCGGTTTTGTTTGGGATTGGTTTTGTCAAAAATATATACCTAAGTAGAGCATCTTGGAAAGCTACTTGAGGATCCAAATTTTTGGATGAAATTTGGCAGGTGGTAAGAAAAAAGGATTATAAACAGTTGCAAATATTTTTTAAAAATGAAACAACATACCTTAGATTAATGCTTGAGGTTTATTCAACAACTAAGTTTTTAACAACAGTAAAATCAATAAAAACGTTAGATACTCGAAAAAACACACACACACACAAAAGAAGTTCAACTATTCTTCTTTTTAAATAATATTTATGTTGATATAAAATTCTTAAGAATGAACCACTAAACACGTTAGCATATAACTAACGCAAAACAAACTCAAAAAAACGTGGCACAGAATTTGGCCAAAAAAAACGTAAACGAAATTACGCCTACGTAATACTACAAATTAAAATTTAAGATATAATATTTATAATATAATTCAAATTATAAATATTATCACTTTACAAAACATAGTATTACTATGTTTTGTAAAATGATAATATTGCTCTTAGTAAAGTTTTACTAAGTATAACTGCTATATAAAAACTTAAGATATCATTTGTAAATGCAATATATAAATGCAAGATTTAAGATTTTCTATAACTTATATATTTGATAATATATTACTTATAGTATGAGAAACATATTAATTATATTACTTATAAAGTATGTAAAATCTTACATTAAATAAATGTATGATTTTACCTTTTTTCATAAGTATGTAAAATTTACATATTATTTATAAATACATAAACCATTTATTAAATGATTTATGTGAAAATAAATAATACGTAAAGTTTACATACGGCAGTGCTACATAATAAAACTTTGCTATGTTTTGTAAAAAAAATTTGCCAAAGTTATTTTACGAAACATAGCAAATTAAAGGTTTTTCAAAAAGTCTAGGGGCTGTCCATTAATTACGTCAACATTTTTTTCGACTATTTTTACCCCCCTTCCTACCCCTTGTAAACAACTTGTCAAACTTTCAGTGACCCCCTATAAAATTACGTCAACATTCGTTAACCCCCCCTCCCCAAAGAAAAAAAAACTAAGATGGAAAAATAATGTTTTAAATTCATCACCCTTTAATCTTTTTTAAGAAGAATAAGAAGATTAAATCGTTAACAAAAATGTTCACATGTTTAGATTATAATCATATTTCAACTTAATAAAATTCTCCTCACTTTAACATTATACCTAATAAAAATATGCATTGAAAGTGAATTATTTTTAATAGAAGCTAGTATAACAAAAAAAGCATTTAACAAATTGTATAAACCAGGGGTTGGCATCCTTTTGAGACAAAAGAGCCAAAAGTTACAATATACAAAGTTTTTTAGTTTTAAATGAGCTACCAACATTTTTATTATATTATATTTAGGGATGCGGAGTCCCGAAAAGGACTCCGTTTTTTTAATGTCACAAAAAGATTATTTTTTCCTAGTTTTTGATATCCAGGAGCTCTAATAATATAAAAATGCTTATGGATTGATAAAAAAGTTAAGACTTTTATGTTATTGGAACAATCTCTGTTTGAACCCGGAGTCCTTAGGTATAATGGCAGCTAGGATGCAGGGGCTCCGGACTTAAAAACAATATGTTTCAAGTTATTAAATTTCATGAGTTTTTTTCATTTACCAGATCATAAATCAACCAACATGTTCAGAGCTTTTAGACAACAGAGACCAATAAAAAATAGAGATATAAAACAGAAGTCCTGTTGGGACTCCACATCCCTGATTATACTAATAATTGTGCATGTCAAGGTATTTCAATGTTAAGATGCAGCTAAAGAGCAGCGCTTGAAATAACGACCGATCAACGATCAATGATCGGTTATTTTTGAGTAAATTTCAAAAAATTAAAGGGAAAACATCCTGTTTTTGTGAAAAAATTACATTTGATCGGTAAGCTTTGAAAAATTATTTCGAGCGCTGAAAGAGCTTCATTATGACATCGAAAAAATCACAAGAGGCTTGCGAGCTACAGATTATTGAAGGTTAAACGACTATGTAACACAGGACTGTAAAAGCTGCCTAATTTTCCTTTTTCTAAATAATTCAATTTATAAAAATAGTAACATGTTCAAAAAAAGTAAAGTGTTGACGTCAACTTTTCTTGACCTCCCCCTTCCCCCTTCCCCCTTGTTAACAATTGCCAAAAAAATCTAGACCCCCTCCGCCCTATTTTGTTGACGTAATTAATAGACAGCCCCCTATAAGACTTGTTTCAAAAAAAAAAAAATTAAACACATTAAGCCATTACTGTAATCCCACTAAACCATATAAACTATTTTAAAAAATTTTCAACATTGTAGTTTTGTAATTTTATTTCTACAAAACTTTTTAATAAAACGATGTTAAAAAAACTGCTTTGATTAGAAAATACACGCTACCATTAAACTACGCGCCCCATCTTCAAACCAGCCGTAAACCATTTATTAGCGGCATTATTTTTACACCATATGGAACCCATCAGGCACCCAGAACAAATCCCAGCCCGAACCCAATTCCAGTAACCCTAGCTCAATCCCAACTGGGACCCAGCTGGGTTGGTTAACTGGGAAGATAGTCGAAAAAGTCAATAAAGTTTTTACTCAAATTTGCTTTTGTTTTTTTATCAGTTTTTAATCTTATTTGTAATTATAATATATCAATTCTGAAAAGTTGTACAGTTTTAATTTCTAAATAAATGGTACAGTTAATATCTATACGAACGTATGAATATATTAGTTGTAATATTTAAGTGATAATTGTAATTAGCAATAATATATAAATTATATATTTTTTGATGATTGTTATTAACAAATATACATTCATTTAATCATTGCTAATAATATTAGTAATAAAAATAAAGATAAAATTATTTAATGAAAATATCATAATGAATAATTTTTCAATCATAACATTTTTCAAATTAAATTAATGATTCATAAATCATTATGATAATTATAATGTAATAATGAACGATGTCAATAAAAATTGCTAATCTTGAAGCTATGCATGATCTTTAAATAGATCTTTAAATAAGATGTCATGGCACGCAGAGTATGAATATTTAATAATTTGCCATTTTTTGACAATATCATGCCAATGTTTGTCCTGTGTTGGACATTTGCTGAACCAATATTGGGCCGTGATTAGCCGTTTGAAACCATTATTGGCTCAATATTGGAGCCATGATTTGGCCAGTAAACTGCCAATATTTGCCCAAAAAAGACCCAATTTGCGCTCCCCAATATTTGCCCAATGTTTTCACACTACTGAAACTTTTGTAACATTCTGAGTGATAAACATCTTTTTCATCTAGTTCCTCGCGTGGTATTTCTCTTAACTTTTGGTAACAATCTCTTGCCGAAAAACGTCATGCGAACTGGTTTTTACAATCTGAAAATAAATTTAGTAATTGCTAGGAGACACCTTTAAAAACTACTAAAGGAACATATCCAAAATGTACCAAATCGTATTTTTAAAGGATAAGAGATGTAAAAATACGTAGATTTATATTTTTACGCAAATATATGAAATGACATCTAAATCAAATAAACAGAAATACTTTTTCTTTACGATCATCCTCCTTGCAAAATATGCATTTAGTAAGGTTAAAAATAACCTTTCTTTTTTTTCGTTCTTCGTCCTCCAATTGTTAATTATAATTAAATATGTGAAACAGCAATAACACAGAATAGAAACGTTTTTAAAAGCCAAAAACAAAAACAAATCATTCCAATCGATGCATTCTTATAAGTAGAATTATGTAAAAATAAAATAACATTATCAAAATATTCAAAATAATACAAAAACAATTTTTATATTATTTTGAATACCTGATTTATGTTCTTTCAATTGGGATAAAAAAAAATTAATTTGCTAAAAAAAAATTTAGTTGCTATGGGGACCAGTCACGTCATACCACCTGTCACACAAAATGAAAATTTTGTGACAGGTGGTATGACACCTGTAATTTTTTTTTTTTTTTAATGTTGATTTAGGTGCCCCAAGAAGTCCTTACGGTCTTATCACAGAGCACCGCGAAAGAGCATTTAATAGGAAGTTTACGCCTCCTTCCCAACCGATGTCGCAAAACTTGTCCAGAGGTGGGGTTTGAACCACGGATTTTACGTTTCTGAAACAAGTGCGCTACCACTGCGCCACGGCTGCTTTTTTCAAATCCTTATCATATAAGGATCTCATATCACCAGAAAGTTTGCTTGTAACACGTATGTGCACACGAAGGTACATAGTGGCCTGCACTAATGATCTTGATTACCAGTATTTTTGTATCTGCGCGCGCATGGATATCGGAAGATTAGAGTAGTTATTATTCCGGTGTCGGAATAATAACCATAATTCTTATTCCGGCTGGAATTTTAGGCGGAATTTTACGAACAGTCCCGGCTGATATAATCTAGTCGGAACTTAAAATAACTTTTCCGGTACACTTATTTATTAAGAGCGGTCAACTTAGAACAATCTACTTCGGAATAAATGTCCGATTGGACAGTTTATTTGACTGACAATTTTGTGATATAAAATTATATGGCTCAATTATAAGTGGTTCCAAAATGGCCGCAAAGGTTTTAAAGTCTAAAAGCAATCCTCTCCAATTCATTAGCCTGATTTTTTCTTGCAAACGATCAGTTTCATTTGATAAAATACCACCATTGACTGTACCTTTTTTTAATGAAAATGTTTTTTCAAAAAATGTCTTAAGTGCACAAAAGATAAAAAATGTTAAATTTACAACCCTTCAAAATGGTCTTAAAGTTGCATCTGAAGATTCATTTGGACAATTTTGCACCATTGGAGGTAAAGTCTTTTGAAATTAGTAAATAGCAAATCACGCATATATATATATATATATATATATATATATATATATATATATATATATATATATATATATATATATATATATATATATATATATATATATATATATATATATATATATATATATATATATATATATATATATATATATATATATATATATATATATATATATATATATATATATATATATATATATATATATATATATATATATATATATATATATATATATATATATATATATATAACTCCACATGTTGGTGTTACTGTATTATAAATGTTATTTAAATCCAATATCAGGTTAACCCCACCACAGGGTTTGATCGATAGTTTTTTAGGCTTTCAAAAAAGACATATACCAAGTACACCTGATACTATCCAAAAAATTAAAAGGTTGAAAAATTAAAAAGTTGAAAAACTGTCGAAAATTATCAAAATTATCAAAAGTTCTTGATTTCAGTAGATGAAAGGTATGGGAAAACAATATTGATCCCTTGTTTTTCTTGGTTCATCTGAAATTCTTTCAATCACAGCAGAAAATAGAATAGTTTGATCCATATCATTTTTGTTTTCTGTAAATTTGAAGAATTTACTCACCAGATGTTTTTTCAAAAATTTTATATGAAGCAGTTTTATTCTCTCAAACACTTCAACGACTTGACCAATTTAATTGATTTCAATGTAATAGGTTGGTATGTACCTATAGGTATATAAAAAAACATGTTAATATAGTATTTTATGGCTATTTAGAATACATTTTCTATACTTTTATACCTTTTTTATAAACTTTTTTTAACTATAATATATTTTTTACCTTTGAAATTAATTTTATGAAATCTTAGTAAACTTTTGATTAGTGTTAATTAATTTTAAATTAAAGACAATAAAAAAATATTACAAAGATATACTGTATACTGTATATATATATATATATATATATATATATATATATATATATATATATATATATATATATATATATATATATATATATATATATATATATATATATACACCCCACTATCAGGCTTGGACAGGAATAGGGTGCGAATAAGCACTATTGCTGACCACACATATGATTTTATTTCTTGACAACTTGTCCATGATTGTTTATATGTTTTGATGATTTAAACATTTCAGAAATGTGCTGAATGTGTGCATGCTAAGCTAAACTTAAACTAGGAAAAAAGTTAAAAAATTCTTTTTTAAACAAAAAAAGAAACGAAAAAAAAAAAATCTTTACAAAAAATTATATAAGCACTAAAGTAAAGATAAAAAGTAAAAACTTAAACTCGAAGCAAAACCTTGTGTTACGTTTTAATTATGTTTGATATAAATTTTTTTAAATGTTTTATTAAAGTTTTTTTAAATGTTTTATTAACGCTTTTAAATTATGTAACAAATTACTACTAATGATTGTTTAATAAATGAACAAATTTTATCAAATTTATTAAAAAGTGTTGTATATAATTTTTTTTTAATTGAATAAACATTTTTTCAAAAAAGTTGCAAAAAAAAGGATTGTTAAAAAAAATAACATAGTCTTTTTAAAAATTTTAATAATTTATACTCTCGTTAATCTCTAGTTAAAAAACAGGTTTTAAACTTTTTTATTCGTAAAAATAGAAAAAAATTGTATAAATAAAATGTGCGTGCAGTTTAAATAAAATAAACTGCTAACAAGCAATTTAATATAATTTTAATTTGAGCATAACAACTTTATTAATAAGTGCTTCACATAACAAATTTAAAAATTATTATAAAAGATTTAAGCTCATTCATTCCTATCAAAATTAAAAAAAAAAAAAATTTTTTTCAAAAAATAAAAAGTTTGTTTAAAAGATTTCTAAAAAATTGTAAATTTAATTATAAAAATTATATATGAACATTACAAAATGCTTTAAACCTTTCCATTAATCAACAAATTTATGCTTATATAAGTAAATAAAGTTGTTTTATATTCTTGTATTATTCACACAAATTGTGTAAAAGCTAGTAGTCGCAAAAGGTTTTAAAATTATTCAAAATTAAAGGAACTTAAAAAAAATTCTATCTAAAAATAATGCTTTAAAAGATTTTTGGGAAGACATAATGTACAAATAGTTTCAAATATAAATATATAGGCTTGGACAGGAATGGTGTGCGATCGCACTTTGTAACTCACCACGCTCATTTTTTTTTCTTTACAACTTGACCATGGCTATTTTGATGTTTTAAGAATTTGAATGCAATAAAAAAAGTATTACGTTATAAATATCTTTTAATCCTTGATCTTTTCTAAAGTTTTAATTTTTTTTGAAGGTTTTAAATAAAACCATAAAATTAATTATAGTTATTGTTTACATAAATGCGTGTGTAAATTATTAAATAACGTTATATATAAGTTTTTTTTTATGTAGGCATTTATTTTTTATGATAAATTTAATTGTTTAGAATTATTTTTCCATGACTTTCTAAAACATTTTTAAATCATTATTTTCAGAAATAATTTTTTTTTAAGTTACCTTATTTTTTGAATAAGTTCTAAAGCTTTTGTGACTACTAGCTTTTATAAATTTTATGTGAATTATGCAAGAATATAAAATAACTTTATTTACTTATATAAGCATGTATTTTGTTGATTAATGAAAAAGTTTTAAAGCATTTTGTAATGTTCATGCGATTAATTTTTATAATTAAACTTACGATTTTTTAAAATGTAATAACTTTTCAAAAAATAAACATTTTTAAAAAAAAAAAATTTTTTTTTTTTTTTTTAATTTCAATTTTGATAGAAATGAGTAATTCTTTTATAATAATTTTTAAATTTGTTACGCAAAGCGCTTATAATTAAAATTATAATGTTCAAAGTAAAGTTAACTAAAAATGCTTGTTGGCAGTTTATTTTATTTAAATCGCAGGTGCATTTTATTTTTCAAAATTTTTTTTTTCCTATTTTTACGAATAAAAAAGTTGAAAATCTTTTTATTAATTAGACATTAATTAGAGAATGAAATTGTTAAAAATTGCTATTTTGAAAAGACTACATTGTTTTTTAAAACAAATATTTTTTGCAACTTTTTTGAAAAATAAATGTTTGTACAATTTAAAAATATCATACAGAACACTTTTTAAAAAATTTAATAAAATTTGTTTATTTATTAAACAAACATTAGTAGTAATTTGTTACTAAAATGCGTGTTTTAGATGTTTTAAAAACCTCATGCATCAACTAGATATCTTTTTTTCACCAGTTAACTTGCAAAGTTCATTAATAGAGATCAGGCGGACATCCGTGGGTTATAAAACAAATTTATATTGATAATATACATATTGAATAATGTATTTCAAGTTTCAAATTACAGGACCGCTTTGGGCGGCAAAAGTATTCGACTATATAAGTGAAATTTTATCTAAAATAAGTACTTCAAATACCCCATCATTTGAAACCATTTTGTTTTACATAACTTACAGATAATACTAGATTTTGTTAAATTATGCAATAAAAAGGTTTTAAGGTTAACATCTATTCCTCGCTTATTAGTAACATAAAAAATTTTATAAAATTAAAAAAATTTTTTTTTTAAAAAAAAAAAGCTTTTTATTCTACAGCTTAGAAGCATATGATATGATAATTATATAAAAATATATACATTTTAGAAAAGTTGAATGTTTAAGCTATAAAATGGTGTATAATAATGTAATTTCTGATAATGTATTTTTTTAAATTTTGTCAGACACCTGGCCCACTGTGTACAGGTGCTAAGTGAGAACATGGGTTCTCACTTAGCAGCAGCATCAATATGGTCATAAACCTGTCTTTTAAAGTGAAAATACATTTGTGCTGTTGCGAAAAAAAAATAGTTTTTTAAAATTACTTTTGATGATTTAAAGATTTGTATTGTTTTTTATGATAATATTGTCAGCTTTATCTATTTTTTCTTGTTATAGAATGTTTGTGTATAAACTTGTAATATTAAAAGATACAAAAAAACTGTTAAATAGATTAGCCTAATTTGCTTCTTTAACAAAGGTGAAAGATTCTTTAGTAAAAAATTCAGACGTTATTTATGAAGATAATAAATCTTAAAGAAATTTAGCCAAATGATAGTTATAAGTGCCAATAGGTGATACAATGGGTCGAAAACATATATCATGATCAGAAGACCTTAATTTATGCATTTTTGGAATTTTAAATCATTCGTCGTTTACAAATTTGTTAGTACAGGATGTAAATCCTGTTATATTGGCAAAACTTCTCGCCACCAAAAGACACAATGATTGAACACTACAGAAGGGATAAAAACTCTCTTATTTATAAGCATCTACACTCAAAAGAAAAATGTTTTGCAAATTATAATGATGAATGCTTTTCGATTTTGATTGTGCCAATAACAAAATTGAATTTGAAATTAAAGAAAGTATTCATATAGGATGGGAAAAACCTAATATGAATAAACAAGTAAATTATGTAAAAATGACTTTAATATAACTTTTTTCATTATATTATTATATAAAGGTTCTTTTGTTATATTTAACATTTGTTAAAATAATTTTAGTAATTCTTTTTGTATATATAGGAAGTTTGTTATCAATTTTATGGCTTTTATGATCGTATTTTGGCACTGCCCAAATTAAAAGTTAAAAGACCTTTTTTTTTTTTTTTTATGTTTTTTACGTCAAATATTGTTTTTGTTTTTTTACAAAAAAACTTAAAGTTTTTGCTAAATTTTCTAGGACAGGAGGGTACCACCGCCCAAAATATATATAATATATACAGGTATATATATATATATATACATATATATATATATATATATATATATATATATATATATATATATATATATATAATTATATAATTATATATATATATATATATACAAAGTATAATATATGTAAATATATATATATATATATATATATATATATATATATATATATATATATATATTATATATATATATATATATATATATATATATATATATATA